TGACTTGCTTAAAAAGAAAAAGAAAAAAAAAAAAACATCATGTGCAGTGCAGGATAAACAGGACTTTAATCCCGTGCACTTAGTGGTACAACCTATTCCACGAAAATCAACAAATTAAATCCTGTGTCCCCAACATTACCGATAGATATTAGATATTATTTTACTCTTTTCCTTGTGACCCAGGTGTCAGTTATGACTTGTGACAATTGTTATCCAAGTCGCCTTTTGATCATTGTGTGAACATGCTTAAGCAAGTTTTTGGGAAAATCAACCATGCAAAATGTAAAATATGAAGAGGCCTCATCCGTAGCTGAGTTGGATTGGTTTCATTTTCTTAAAAAATGTTTTATTTTTTTGCAGAGGATAGAGGTTAGAGGAGACAGAGCATGTAATGGTCCATATTGTGTTGAATAGGGACGTTTACCAAAAGGAAGGGTAGCAGTGGTAAATAGTAATCTAGAACTAGAAAAGATGGCTCCCACAAGAATGATTCCTCGTAGGTGTGCTTAAGATTTTTTTTGAAGCAAACAATGCATTTTGTGAACTTTTAAGTGGGCAATCTCATAGGAAGTCCCACAATAACAAAAACAAATATAGAGAGAGAGAGACGATGGTCCCTTAGCACAAGCCAAGGTGACCAAATTATTATAGTTCTTTTGTAAGGAATAATAATGTGATACCTCGAGCCCTGCCAATGCCAGGGCTAAATCTATCTCGAAAGATGAACATAACCATACAAATAGAAAGAGAAGCATATGATAAATCCACCCCTCCCATACACGCCACATCATTCCTCTCGTGCTTTAACCAAACCAAACCTCTCTCATTTTGAACACAAATGCATGTCTTTGTCTATTTTTTTCTTGCAAAATTCGAATCTCTCTTGATTGCTTCACCACAAGCATCATTCTGCTGCGTGACCCTCTCTCTCTCTCTCTTGTCCTCTTTGTATGCCCTGTCCTTATTGGTTTACTTTCCCGTACAATACAAGTATGCTGTACAGAGGAGTCACACCCAATCATGCCCTCTTTCACCTCACCGCACACTCAAATCCAAGTGCCAGATATGTTGTTCAGATTTCCCAAGTTTTCTTCCCTAAAAACACTTGTGCAATTACCAGCAATTGCAATTAGCATCCAATAAACAATAGAATATGATTATTCGAGGTGACAGCAAGAAGACAAAGTGGTGCTGACGTGGGACATTACGTTTCATGTTACCATGACACTTGCAGTTGCAGATGAGAGAGCTTCGAATGTTGTCGAGGTTTGAGTCTTTTGTTTGGGGCCAGTAGTGTAACCGTGTAAGTAGAAGAGAGGAAGCATTTTTTAGGAGTTGCCAGAGACAAGGAAAACTGAGTAGGACCTTACCACTACTACTTTGTGATGAGGAAAACTGATAACAGAGTTACTTCACAAGGTTCGTCTTCATGCTTTGGACAGCTTTGTTGTTCAGTCACTACTCGCTGTCACTGTGTTAGCATTCTTCTCAGTATACTCTAAACTTGCTGCAGTTATTTGATAAAAAATATCTTTTATTTAATTCAAATTATAAAAATAGGAAAATAAATAAAAATTAAGAAACTTTTGTGTTTCATTCATACTAAGAATGAATAGAATGAACTGAGTCTTTTGATGTATGAACCACTCAATTTTTCCATCCATTTTAGACATTTTGTTGTAAAATTTAGGTTCTGTTCCTTTCCAGAGAGATTATTCGAGAAGAAAAAAATGGAAGGATTTGATAGAAAATAATAAAGGATAAAGTGGCGTTATTTGGTAATGTAAATTGAAGGATTTGAAAGTAATATTTATAAAAGATTGTGAATGAATCAACGTGACATGGATAAAAAAAATTAATGAATTAAAATGTAAAATTATAATTTTATCGTTAAATGAATATAAAATAAGATGTATTTAGCTAAAATTAGTAAAAAAAATAAAATGTAAATGTTTATTTCTTAAATTAATTTTTTTAATTATTATAATAAATTGTTAATAAAATTAATATGTGCATGTGTGGGTCTTTGCCCTGCATTGTACACGACGAAAGAGAATGTATGCATAAAAACAATGGAAAACAAATTTAAATTGAAGCAAGGGTAGAAAGTAATTGCATATATTTAGAACTGTCTTTCTCTCCAAATTTTTGCCGAGAGAACTAACATTCACAAATCTCCTTTTTTTCTACCCTGAAACTTTGATCTACAAAATCCCTTAATTCATTTTAAGACAACTTGGAGTTGTATGTGAGAATTCAAGAAAAAATAAATTCTTGGTAGAAGAAGTGATTGATCTAAAGTTAAATAATAAATGACTAAATTAATTTTTTAAAAGTAATGGATCAAGTTGAATACAAAAAAAGAAGTCAAAAAATTGTATTGAAAAATAAAAATAGAAAATCGATAAAAAGAATTCTTTCAACACAAAAGATCCTAGACTTCAAAACACCACAAATGTATCAATTAGAGAAATGAAGAAAAAAAAAAGATTCAGACACACATGTACCTGCTAAAATAAAAAGTTAACTTTTTTTCTATTTTTTGGAGTCAATTAGTATATGAGTGAAAGATTTCAACTGAGGTATATTTAGGAGTTTGAATTAAAAAGTACTAAAAGTTTGAGATCTTCCTTTTAGGATTTTTTTTGGAAGATTAACCTTTTCTTTGGCCGGTGGTGGATGGTAGAAGAAGGTGGAGAGAAAAACAAAAAAAAATAAAGTAAAATAAAAGGAATTATAAAATAAAAAATTTAATGTGACACTTTTCAAACTGTGTAAACTAATTTAAGAGAATAGGTGACATTAAGTATTAAAAAAATATACAAAGCAAAAGAAATTAAAAACTTAAATATAAAGACGTATGGGATTCAGTTGGAGTGAGGGTAACCGGAGTTGGTTTCAGAAATTCTTTCAACAGAGAATTGGTGTTGTATGATCAGACACATCACTACAAAAATCAGTGTCTTTGTGTTAAACTTAGCTTGTTGTTTTAACTGCATTACCAATCATTTTATTCCGTATTTTCAATTTTTAAAAGTAATATTAGAGTTATATTTTCCTTCATCTATTTTCAAAATTTGATAAAAAAAAATTTCTTCATTAGATTTCGCTGATGAAAGATTTTTTTTTATGATTTCGATTAAGATTTTTTTATTGTATTTTAAAATTTGATTAAAAATTCTTTTATCAGATTTTAAAATTTAATAAAAAAATTATCTCCATCGAATTTCATGAAATTTTTTTAAAAATGTCAATGAATTTCAAAATTCAACAAAAAAAGATCAAATTTTTATTAAATTTTAAAATTTGATAAAGAAAATATCTTTTATTGTATTTTAAAATTTGATAAAAGATAAAATTCTTCATTAAATTTTGAAATTGATGAAGAAACTTTTTTCATCCAATTTTAAAATTCAATTAGAAAAAAATGAAATATATAGGATTTTTTGACTTGTTGATGACAGTTTTGAAATTTTAAAAAACTTTAGAGATACAAAATAAACTTATTGGAGATACAAGTGTAACAGCCAACTTAGCATTGATGAATCTTGGCCCAAATCTCACACTGAAATGGTTGAGATTGGGTTATTATCAACTTCTGTGTCAAGGGTGCTTTGCACCTCTCACATTTTATTCTCCACTTCCAACTATTCCACTTTTAATTTTTTGTAAATATTTTTTAATTTTTTTTTTTAAAATCACTCTGCACCTCCTTTAGTATAGATTTCAAAATCTGATTCATAAATTTTTTTAAATTTTATTTTTAGATTTAAAATTTAATAATAATCTAATCAAATTTAAAATTATAATATTATTTAATATACATTCATATCTTAATAATTATTTAATACACATTTTTAAGATATTAAATGTATATTAAATAAATGTATATGAAATAAATGTATATTTAAATAAATGTATATTTAATAAAAATTTAAAAAATGTATATTAAATCATTATTAAGATATAAATGCATATTAAATAATATTAAAAATTTAAATTAGATTAAATTATTATTAAATTTTAAATTTAAAAATAAAATTTAAAAAAATTATGAATCAGATTTCGAAATCTTAATAAAAGAGTTACAAAATAATTTTAAGAAGAAAGAGAAAAAAATTAAAAAACATTAATGAAGGTTAGAAATAGAATAGTTGGAGATGGAGAGTGAGTACAAGATGAAATATCCCTGTGTGAAATAAACCACATAGAGATTTTTAACCTTCTCAGTGAACTCAATCATCACTTGGTCCTGGACATGCATGCCCACATAAATACTATTTTTCATATTCATAATCATATTCAGTTTCAATGTCAAATCAAAATCAAACTTCTAATAGAGTACCTAATACTCTACCAAAGAAACAAGATAAATTACTCAACCTTTTTTATTTAGATTTTCTCTAGAAAAATGCTATTTTCACAACCTTTGTCAAACAACCCTATGAAAATTTCTTTTTAATGACAATGTACTTAAATGAGTAATTACTAAGAAAAAAGATGTAATAAGAAATAAATATTATTAGACACGTGGTTGTATACTAATGGTATAAAGACATTGTATTTTACATTTTAGCTAAACAAAGATCACAAGTTGTTTATAAAATTTATAAAATTGTTAGACATTTGAATGTAATCCCAACACTGGAAAAGTATTCAGGTTTTTAAAACGTAACTGTGAGAAATTAATGTATAAAGATAAGCAATAAAATCCTGAGTGAAAAATAAATTAATCCAACCAAGAAGTGAGGTGATATGAAAAACGTTGGTGATGAAGTGAAGTGTTGGTAAAATAAGAGGGAAGAAAGGAAAAGAAGAGGAGATGTCCAAATGAAGAAAAGATTCGAAATAGAGATTTGAAAAGCTAGAAATAGGGTTGAAAGTGTCCGAAAGATGCTCCCTTCCTCAGAAATGGTGAGTGAGTCGCAATCTCTCAACCCACCAACGCACTGCTTTACCTCTCTTGAAACAAAATCTTATTCGCTACATTCTCTGATTATAATATCATTAATCTCTCACTCTGGATTAATTAGTGGCGTTCTTGATCCAGAAAAACCACAACAACAACATACAACCTTCGTTCGACAGGATGGTCTTTCGGAGCTCCACCTCCCTAATTGGCCTCCTGTCCCTCCCCATCCTCCTCCTCCCCCTCTTCCGCCCCGTCTCCGCCATCCGTCTAGGCCTCATCCACCGTCACTCGCCGGACCTCCCTCTCTTCCGGGAGGCCCCCGCCTTCCGCAATGGCCAGGAGTGCGGCTCCACCCCCGACCACGTCATCAACGTCGCCATGACCCTCGACGCCAACTACCTCCGCGGCACCATGGCGGCGGTCCTCTCCATGCTCCAGCATTCAACCTGCCCGGAAAATCTCTCCTTCCACTTCCTCTCCGCGAACGACGACGCTCCCGAACTCTTCTCCAGCATCAAGTCCACCTTCCCCTATCTAAACATGAAGATATACCGCTTCGATAGCAACAGGGTCCGCGGCAAGATTTCCAAGTCCATTCGCCAGGCCCTCGACCAGCCCCTGAATTACGCCAGAATATACCTCGCCGACACGATCCCGGAGGACGTGAAACGCGTGATATATTTAGACTCTGATCTGGTGGTTGTGGACGACATAGCCAAGCTCTGGGGCGTGGACATGGAAGGGAAGGTGGTGGCTGCGCCTGAATATTGCCATGCAAATTTCACGCTGTATTTCACGGACACCTTTTGGTCGGACCCCGCTCTGGCGAAGACGTTCAAGGGAAGGATGCCGTGTTATTTCAACACGGGGGTGATGGTGATGGACGTGGACACGTGGAGGAAGGAGAGATACACGGAGAAGGTGGAGTCATGGATGGCGGTGCAGAAGCAGCAGAAGAGGATCTACCATCTGGGGTCTCTTCCGCCGTTTTTGTTGGTTCTGGCGGGGAACATAAAAGCGGTTGACCATAGATGGAACCAGCATGGTTTGGGTGGAGACAACTTCGAAGGAAAATGCAGGAGCCTGCACCCTGGTCCCATTAGTTTGCTCCATTGGAGTGGGAAGGGCAAACCCTGGTTGAGATTGGATTCTAGAAAGCCATGCATCGTGGACCATCTTTGGGCTCCTTACGATCTCTATCGCTCTTCTAGACACTATTTTGAAGAATAGAAAATGAATATATGAATGAATGAGTTTGAGGTGAGCGGGTTCGTGCAAGAGAATTATCTGTTTGAAGGAGATAGATATACATATATATATATACATATACATTACGTGAATGGAGAGAGGATCTGATGCATGAGATGATACATTTTCAGCTTCTGACTAGAAAGGAACTAACAAACAAACCCAACACCCTACGTTTAGCTTAGTAGCCTGGCATTGGATCGGAGTTGTAAATTCCTTTTGTCCTTTCCTTCGTTCAGTACTATTCTTTTGTTCTTCTTTTTCTTCTGTTGTTCATTGTCATTCCACATCGGATTTCCTTCTCTCTCCTTTCTAAACACCTTTTTTCTTTCGATAAAACTATAATATATAATCCAAAAATGTTTTTTTAATAATTTTTTTAATAATTTTTTTAACAATTTTTTTACGATGATTAATCCATTTTAAATATATAAATCAATAAAACAGTCACGTTGTTAAAAGATTATTAAAAAAAATTGTTAATATATTATAATCCTATATAATCAACGTCATATCAATGCTTATGTCAGCTGGTTTTTCAATCTTTTAATCGTATATCACACAAGCTTATGCACATTTTTAATAACATACAAGAGTTGAACTTCATATATTATTTTTTCGAAATTAATTTCAGCAGAAAAAGATACTTTTAATACAATCTTTAATCTAAAAATCATACATGAGGAATTCTAAGGTGGTAAGTCAATGCCATTCTCATTATACAACTAGTGATAACATTTCAAACACTCATTTTACGCTTTTCATACTATTTTTTCTTATTTTATTATATAATTTTCTATATATCTATATATTACTTTTCTTCTCTCTCGATATGCAGCACATCTAAGAACCAAAGAAGATCTTTCAATTTATCTAAGAATACCTTTTAACAGTAAAATAACATAAATGTTATTGGAGATTTTAAATTTTATTTCATGAATTCTTTATGTATATTTTATAAAATTTTATTTAAGTCGTAATTTACTGTAATAAACTATTACATATTTTCGAATTCTTTAATTATGTAAAAAAATATATTTAGATATATAAATGTAGGAAATAAAATAAATGAAACCAAATGTACATTTATAAGCAAAACGGTTATAATTATATAAATTGAAAGGGATAGACAAACACCCATCAAAACACGAACACTCATCCAACACCTATTAAACAATTTTTTTTCCTGAGTTTCCTTTTAAGAAAAGAAAAATATTGATGGACATTAATTAAAAAGCTGCATTGATATAATAAAGGAAAGAGAGATAGAAAGAAAAATCAAATATTATGTGTAGATAAATTTCATATATATATATATATATATATATATATATCACTCTGTCTTAAATATTAAATAATAAAATTATATATTTTTTCGCCGAGTTACCTTTTTCTTCCTGCACTTGTTTTTAGTTCACGAAGATATGTTTTTTTTTTCACTTTTCATAAAAATGTTTCTAAACATTCTTTAAAATAAACATGAAAAATATAAGAAAAATAAAATAATTTTTTTAATATATTTTTCGTTCCTATTAAGAAGTCTATGGATCCCCAAGTGAAAGCATTGTCATTGGTCATGTTTGTAATAAAGAGTTAATAAAATCAATATAGGTAGTATAGCATCAATGCCTACACCTAACACAGTTTAGTTTATGTTTGTAACAAAGAGTCCATAAAATCAAT